GCTTTTCTACTTTCCTTCGTGCAAAAACCCTCCCTTCTTGGGGTGCCTGGGTGACTCAGTCGGTTAAGCGTTGGACTCTTGATTTCGACTCAGGTCATGATCTTACAGTTTCTGGGATCAAGTGCAGAACCTGCTTGGTATCCTCTCTCTCCCACTCTCGGCAACAACCCCCACCCCCGCAATAAATAAATAAACTTAAAAAAAAAAAACCTTCCTTCTTTGTATCTCATGCTATCAACTCCTTCTAGTCTAAATCACTGAGAGCTCTCCAGGACACTACCCATATGCATTAGGAACCTGAGCACTTCCAACCTCTTCAGCTCCACAGCACCTTGCTTTCAACCTACTTTAGCAACCCCTCCATGTCCATACTCTGGATCCCCACCCCCCCACCCCCCATCCCCTGGAACTGTTCCCTATGAGAAATGTAAAATTCTACTATCCTACCCTCTGCAACAACACTTTGCCTTTCCATTTCTCACCTCTTTGCTCTTACCCCCTTTGCTCTTCCATTTCCCTGGGCCCTGGAGTCCCTTGACCTCTGCTTTCTCCCAGGCTGTCAGCCTCCTTTTCTATCCAACCTGGACCACTGTAATACCTCTCTCACTAGCATGCTTACCCCCCTAGTTATTCCACAATATGCACTCTACAAAAATCCGTGGCCCTGAGTGAATCCAAACCTCTGGCTGTGTCCCAGAGAGTTGTGTGTGGTGGAGAAGATCTCCCAAAGGTGCCCCTGCACATACAGCATCTCCATCCTCAGCTGGGCCCTAAGTACAGACTGCTCTTTCCATGGTTAGTCCCCTATCTTCCACATAGCAGGTATCTTAAATCCCACCCCCATATACTCACACTCTACCCCATCAGTCTCTTCACCAACAGCAGATTAATTCCTTTGCAAAAATAAATACCACCGGACATGAAGTGCCTCCACCTCTGTCCCTCACTTATAAACTTCTCTTAAGTTGTTCCTACCCTTGCTATGCTCCCACACATCTTAGAAGAGGCCACATCATTCCTCCTGTGCAAGACTAATTCTTTCACTTGTGCTCTGATCTCACTCTTTCCTGGCTTCTTCTTGATTCCCTCAATGAATTGCCTCCTTTCTGTTATCTTTAATTTCTCCTTCATGGCTAGTTCCTTAGCTTGTAAACACTTTGCCTATATTAAAAAACAATTCTCCCTCAATTAGGCACCATTTTCTAGTTACTTCACTCTTTCTGTCATTTTACATAGTTTCTGTTCCAGAACAGTTTGTTCTCTGGATCTACTTCTTCACCTCCCATCTTTCACTTCAAAATAACTCTGCAGAAATCACCCTCCATAATGTCACTGGGGACCTCCAAACCGAAAACTCAGACCTTTACGTTCATATCTTACTTGATCTTCCCATAGAATGATGGTATTGATTAATTCCTTCTTCTTGAAGATTTCTTTGCCCTTGATCTTTGTGTCACTACAGTCTCTGTGTGTGCCTCCTACTTGCTTCTCTGCTTATGGCAGTGACAGTATCTGTGTTCACTAAATGCCATTTCATTTTCCTCTTCCCTACTTCTATATTCTCAGCTTTCTTTGTAGTTAGGCTGCATCCACTGAGCCGTGTTCTGTCCAAAGAGATGTGGACAGAAGTGGTGTGAGCCATTTCGACCTGGCCCTTAAATATGCTATCTTCCAGATGACCTTCATGTTTTGGAATTCTCATGGTGTCCAAGCTAAAGAGGGATATGGGCCAAGATGAAATTAGTTCCACTGGTCATTTCAGGACCCATTAGGACTGAGTCATCAGCTCTAATGATGAACTTGTTGGGACTGCACCATTAGACAGTCTACAGAGTTACAGAGATAGAGAGTGGTGGCTTACTGGAAGCATGAGGAATCCTGCAGGTATCCCTCAAACCCTGCTGAGGTCTGTATCATGGGTGGGACAGGAGCTGTATGGGCCTCTCTCCTTGACTCCTGGAGCATTTTGTAGTGGAATTACAGGTGTATAACAATCTTTCTGGGACAACTGAGCT